AACCAACCGTATTCTAGGATATAATGACTGCCGACTTTGCTGGCAAGAGCAACCAAGTCAATAGATGACAACCAATTTTAGCACCACCAACCCCTCCTTAGTTGAAAAACAGGAAGTCAGGATAGTGGGCATATCTTGCCAAGAGATGTACTGCAATGGTGAAGGCGACTTTTGCCAAGTGCGATGTGATTGTCCCTTCCTGAATAGTTCGGTTCGGAAAGTAGGGCACATCCAAAGTGTGCTTTGGCCTGAATAACCACAATCCAATGCCATACTGCAGGAGCTTTCTCCTATTATTTAAGTGGAACTAGTTGCTGTTGCAAACAAGATCAGGAAAAGCATAAGTCAATATCATGCAACATCACAATCTGATCCTCTTCGCTGCACAAAGGCACGGATCATTGCAACTGCTTGACACCATGAACGAGGCGATCTCCTAATCATCAGGAAGTTCTAAGAAACCATTTATCAGTCCTTTACAGAAAAGGTGGCATTTTCTAGAGGAATGAATGTAGGTAATTGTGCAAGTGCCTTGCGAATTTCGGCAGAGAGAAATAGGATGGACTGGTGAATCTGCATTTGCCCTTAGCACTTGTGGCAGAGGGAAGATGACCAAGCAATGTCACCCAATTCGAAGTCGAAGCAAATGTTCAGTAATGGATTGAGTGGACTCAAGGGCTGACAAAACACTCCAAGCACTGAATTCTTCAGCGCAAATGGACATATTTGTAAAGGCACACATTCGCATAAATGAATGATGTAACCATTACTACATGACGTCAGATGGGATGTAACGGTCTGCACTATGAGCGGACATAAAGATGGATTTTGTTATGATGGGCAGAATAGAAGTGATGGAGTGATTAAATTCAGCCTGACCGTAAAACCTACCTGACCCCTGCTTGCCTCCGTACATGCTACTTGGTGTTGAACTTGAAAGGATGGATCAAACCCAAGCCCGCATTGGTTAGGCCGAAGCAAAGTTGGTGACGTATTATTATGTCGACTGTAGTAAGAATTGCAGTGCTTGGCCAAGAGGGAGGTTGCGCATGAGAAGGTCAGCAATGGAATATTCAAATTGTCGGGTGTAACAGTCGAGAGGTACTCTACCAGTTTACGTTGATTTGTTCACTGTTGCCGAGGGCCGTATAATGCAGCTTCTTGTTGATGTAGATGTTCAAAGGAATATTAGCATTCATGTTTCGCGTTACAAATAATACTTACCAGCGGCCACAACCATTCGTGTAGTCCTTGTTTCGAGTTTGCATCTACACAAATGCTTAGTGGATTTGCGCTATTTCCAGCATCCATTTCGGCAATTGATGACTTAACAGAAGTTATTTTGGAGGCTGCATTAAGTAGTCGACGATGGTAATAAGTGAGATGATGCCTTATGGTGCGTTGCAACTGCTACCTGTGATCCAAAAAATAAGTCATCTTTTCTTTGTTAATCAACAGGAATTCGGTGTTTCTTTGTATCAACAAATGCTTTTTTGATCACACTGTCTAACGCCATACCCTTTTGTGTTTTGAAATTGGCACTCTCCTCCGCCGTTATGATTTCATGCCTCTGCCTAACCGAGACGAAGATTGAATAATAGAACAGGAATAAATGCATTAGCTGCTTAAAGCTCGTCCCACTGGTTATGTTCCTATCCAAACATTCAGGCAGTTTGAATGAATAAAGAGTTGAATTGTGAATAAAGAGGTGAATTGTGTTGCACAGAACCAAAACCATTGTTTGGAAGTGCTAGGAGAACGCGAATCTTTCGGCAGTGGAGTTGTTGGAATTATTTGATCTAGATAACAGAGTGCAAAACACTACCTCGTACCCCTCAACCACCTTATTTATTTCAAATATCTTTACAAAATCTATTTACTAGTTTAACAAATTCTAAGGGCCGATAAGAAGGTGCTCAACGTTGATCCGGTACTTTACTTGAAAAAGTCGTTCTTGTCGATTTAATTTTTTTTGTAAGGCATCTTAGTTCCAACTTGATGTTCAGATTAAACTGATATCAAATGAGTGTGTCGAGTATTCCAAATGCCTGATTGAATATTCCCGACTGTCTATAAAAATTGAGAGGCCTTCCTTATGTCCACTCTGGTTGCATCGAACAGATAGGTCATGCTAATAACTTTTACGTGCTGAAAAAGAGATCCATGTTTAAATGCTTTAGCAGCAGTGTATTAATTCTCTTAAAGGCATGTCATTCTAAAAAAGTGGCTGAGACTTAAGGGTGATGATGATGAGTGGATCAATGTTAAGGTGTAATGAGTACTGTGGTTATTTGCTTAACTAACATTAAAACGCCAGATTCGCTTCTTATTGCAAGTCCATCTGTCAGCAGACAGCCAAAGTCAAAACATTTTGGAACGTATGCAGCGAGGTAGGTTGGCTCGATGACTGTGCTTGTAGATTTATTTGTCAAATGTCAATTCATGTCATGCTGATGAGATCCTTTTATTTAACTTTGGCAGCACTTCCTTCCTACTCACATGACGTAAATGTGAATCAACTGTTTCATCATACACATTAGAATCAGCCCCCACAATCTCTAATAGCTCTATTCAATATTGACTCACTACTCGTTGATTTTTGAGTGTTGAAACGGCAAATAAACATTAGATACATTCGTCTTGTTCCAAGTATCCCCAAGTAGTTCAAACACCAAATTGTCAGAAATTGTGGCAAAAATTCAAGGACAGTTAGGAGGATAAAATAATATCATGCGTATAGCCAAAACATAAATTGTAATTGCTGCAGATAAAAAGGAAAAAAAACATTTTATTGAAAAGGGGATAAAAAGGAACAGGAAAAATTAAAAAAGTTCCAAAAAGGGGCGTGGATAGGAAATTAAAAAAAGAGAAATGCCCATAGAAGGTAATAATGTTTCAAATATGGATATCTTGTAGCAGAAATAAGAGGAGAAGATTGTGGAAGAGGTAGGAGAAATGCAGTAAACTGTAAATGCGTAGGATGCGTTAAATCGGGCCAGCAACCTGGAGAATTCCTATTCGTCATCCGTTACTGTACCGACCCGGCCCGACGAGCACAACCTCGATGGTGTGACAGGAACTAGAGGTTACTACTTGGTGTAGTCACTAAAGTTATTTCCCCTTCACGTCTCATATTTCAACGCGCATTTTTTTAAAACTGGCTAAGCATTGCATGACTTCTCTCTTCCTCCTAACTTGGCATTTTGCAATGATAATTTGTATGTTCCCTTGCTGATACTAGTGCATTGTTGGCTCAAGTTTCACTTGCATGAATACGGGTACTCCAATCTGGTTAGTATAGGTAACATTGTAATAAGGTATGCTTGATTTTCTTTTTCCCTTTTAATTAGATAATGAAGCGTGGTTAGAGACAGCTTAAAATGAGAGTGTCAACAATGGTGCAGCCTTTGATATTATCCATCGGAAATTTAGCACTCATCCTCGTTAGGGATTACGGCATTTTATAACTAGCTAATAATAAATCGCAGTTTTGTATTACTTAGCTGATAGGGATCAGATCAAAATTACGCAAAGCGCTGGGCAAAATTTGTCCAGTATGTCCCTTGAATTATTTTGATGTATTTTTATAATAATAAAAAACAGCCGAAGAAAATACCCATTTTAGTATGTTATGCCTCTACCCATATTGTGCAGGTAATAAAAATTCCACTTTTGCAGCCCTTCTGCATTATAATTTGCACAAATTTTAAGGCCAGCTCCTTTTTATTACTGACAAACCAAAAGAACCTGCGTCAAACACTTAAACGATGGACAGATCTTCACCATGTCCGATGTGCATTCTGACCTTCATCTTGCTGTTGTGGTTTAACCTCTCCATCTTATTATTCGTGATTGTTAAGATTTGTATCAACTATCCCACCAGAGTAAGTTACGGTTTACAAGGCATATTAAATTATCAACATTTGGAAACTCTATCTTTTCTGCCTGTTATTAAAGAACTGCTTCAGGCTGTCCATCTTCTTAAAGATAGGGAAGAAAATCATCCTTGGCGCAAAGACATGTACAATCCCAATGTATCACATCAAATGCAATCTTTATGTTCCTCCTTTTGGGAAACAAAGATTAGTTGCAATCAGCGCAAAAGACGGCCATTAATATTGCCTTAAATTTGTGGAATTAATTTTGCGAGTGAAAGTATTTCAAGTCGAACACTAATTTTGCCACATAAGAATTGTCACACCAACCAACATAATTTCGCGCCTTTACTTTTAAAGGACTAATAATCACTAGTAATTTTTCCAATTTTTTTTCTTACAACTAAAATTCTTTGCATAATTATTTTAGTGGAACAACATTAGGCTTCACTTTTCATTGGTATCCGTCAAGAAGCCCTCTTGTCTCAAACTCAAGGCCTGATGTCCGGCCTTTATCCTCATGCTGTAGGAGAGACAGCAGTCCAATTAATAATTAGTTGTTTAGCACGTGTCAAAGGAC